TCGAGGGGTGATTACTACCAGCTGTTAAGTGTGTGCACCACACAATAGTATCTCATCTGTGCAACCACTTGGAAAACTTCTTTCTTGCTCTCTTTCACCCTCGAGTTCCATAAAATATGGCCAAATCTTTCCCCTCTTACTGAATACTGACCTTTTCAAATCCCTATATATGAAACAAGATATTTTGAATCTTGAAAGAACAGCAAGAAGAAACACGGGGTTTCCAGGCTCTTCCCCAAGAATAAGGTTGGCGAGACCATGCCATCGCACCCTTTCTTCATATTCTGCTGGGAAATGTTTTATATCATTTTCCAGTGACGTTGGCAGGTTTGTAATCTTCATGGCCTAGAAAACATCGCTGAAATACAAGAAAAACTGTTCTGAACGAAAGGTGTTCAGATCTCAGTAAAGCATCTCATTTATCTGTCAACTCTTACCACTGGAAATAATTTGAAGTGTCACCTTGACCAAACTCCTGAATTTCAGGTATGGCAAATTCCGAATCACTTCTTCACCATAATTGTCTTGCAGAAAGTCTGGTGTCTTTCTAGACCTGTCTGACTTTATCCTAGCTAAACTAGGGTTCTGTAGGGGGATTTCTAGAGTGTTAGGTAAGAATCGTGAGGAGAGGGCAGAGAACACTTGAGAAGCTCTTAATTAACAGGAACACATCTGGGTTTTTTTTTTTTTCTGTCTTAAATATTTAATACTCCAATAAGGTTTTTGTTTGAAGAAAACATACCCAGTTTAAACAAGAAAAAAGAAGAAAAAAAAATACTTCTTTAATCTTTTTAATAAGCAAGTAAAGAGAAGGAAGGATATGAGACACTGTCAACATGGACATCAGAGTCTTTTCTTTTTTCTACCTGATGCAACTAAATGTAAATTAATCAAAGGAATAGAATTTTGGCAAAAGCACTAAAGTGTGACCCAAGTAACTGTGGGACATCTTGCTCCCTGAAAGAAAGCTAAGCAACAAATAGTCCATTAATTAATAAGGTAGAAGGTGGTGATCTCTTTGCCTAAATATCACTTCTCTCCCTCACTCAGGCTTGGACTGCTGTCGCCGTGCATACAAGGTCCCCTTTACAACATCTGTCTTAGCAGCCAACAGACCTCATTGTAATTGGCTGCCATCCCCCACCACACACAAGCCTCAATCAAAACTCTGTGACAGGTTGTATTAGCTTACATTAAAATCATAGAATGTAGCAATGGATTTGCTGAATGAAAGAACAGAAAAATGGTATCTCATGAAGAGGGGAATTGGGCTCCTACACTCAAAAGCACAGAGCTCTCTTGGTTGAGGGTATCCTCTAAAGACTCATATAAGTTCATTCCTTGTTCATAGTTGTCCACCCAGGCTCATGCCAACCATCAGTAACCTGATAACGAGAGAGCGATTGTTCTAGGCCAGGTATATTACACACATATTACCTCTGTAGCAATGTTACCTCTAGAGCAGGTGAGTATTACTGTCCTAACTTCAGAAATGAGAGAATTATACTCAGACATGCCCCTGCCTGCAAGTGGCCATTTCCAATTTTAAGCATTCCCCCCTCCCCTGTGTATAGCTGTCAAGCTAACGTTATCTGCATTTACACCACTCTGTCCTTTGTTTCCCCAAAGCTCCTTTTCCCTTAACAGTGAAAAGGTTGATGAAAGTTATTTTAATCTTATTGGGACATGGAATTCATACCACCTCTTGAGGGTAATATGATGATCAATGGGTGGAGGCACAGATGATCAGAGAGTAAGGACAGGGAGATAACCTGGGATTGGGAAAGGGGAGATGTCAACTGAAACTGAGCAGTTGCGCCAAGTCCTGGTGTGTTCCTGAGGCTGAGAGCTTGATGAGGCAGCATACCTCAGAGAGGGGCTTGGTGCACTTTAGGCATGGGACTTCCAGGCAAAGCCAAGAATCCAATGCCCAACAGTGCGAGGGAGCCAGAGTGCTTCCTTTTGCTCAGTCACTGTGAGGACTAGAATGGAGAGCCCATTAGTGATGACCCACAAGGACCAAGGAAGGAGGGGCCTTCCAGAATATTCTACTGTGTATCAGATCACATGAAGCCTTGCATAATTTTTGAGGAAGAGGCAGGGAATAATTCCCACTAATAACAGAGACTGAAGTTTTGGGCAGATTGACATGATGAGAGCTCAGGGTAAAATCCAATTTGACCAATCTTTAAACAATATAATGTGTCATTTCTCACATTCCTGAGACTGCTGTCAAAAATTCATACCTGGTGTATATTGGTGAGGTCATTTGTCATTTTGATCACGTTGTCCTTTAGCCTTCATTTTCTCTTTTTTTGGGGGGGAAAAGCATTCCATTCTTAGTCCCTTCCTTAGTCCACATATTAAACATTGTCATTTTCCATTCCTAAGATATTGCTTTGTCCAGTTGCTCTCATACCTAATATCTACTTTTACCTGGGATGAATATTTTTTAAGTATATAATCCTGTGTTCTATCCTTAGATATCCTGATTTATTGCTTTCCCAACCCAAAAATAATGGTAAAGGGAAGGACGCTGAAATCCATGATACAACACGGCTAAAACATGGGGTTGCCAGAATTCTGATTTCATTGCTCATTGGTTAATTTGATACGATCCACATGCATGGAGGCCTTTTGAAAGAAATTTTTAAAAGAGGCAACAAACAGATCAATGACTAATTCAGCCTTTAACTATGACTAAAATCCAGTTTTTTGGCTTAATGTTTGTTTAGGAACAAGATTATTCCATCAAAAGAAAATTATTTTCGTAAAATGGAAATTGGCAATTTACCCATTGAAGTCTGGGAGAAACTCAAATGTCTACATTTCCACTGGGAATGAATTCTGACAGCCAGGGGTAGGGAGCGCTGACAGTACAAAAGTAACCACCTGTTACCCAACAGGAGAGGAAGAAGCCAGGTGGGACACATCCCCCATAAAGGAAATTTGAGCAGTCTCCTGGCTTCCTCTGGGTTACAGGGGAGTAGGGAAGCTGGCAGCGGGGAGGTTGAAGAAAGGAAATCTGAGCAGGTTTCTTAGCTATCTTCCATGTGGGGAAGGCAGGATGAATTGGAGAGACGGCAGAACAGGAAGACTGACAAGAAAAGCTTATGCATGTAAGGCACATTTAAATGATTAGAATGCTGAGAAATATACATAACTCCTCTGAAATTATAGGGATGCCTAAATGGATATGAAACCAGGAGTTGCCTCAGTTACTATAATTCTAGAAAATTTAAATGTCCAGTAAAATGTTCTAAGAACATAGCATTTGCAGAAAATAAACTTTTAGACATAGAGGAAGCACAAGAACAAAGAAATATGCTACTGAAAATCCAAACCCTTAAGGCTCATCAAAACGAAAGTTTTAGCTTTTTGTGACATGTCTGATATCAAACTAGGTAACAAAGAGTAATATTTATTTACATTTTCTCCTTTCTTTCTGACTCTCTCTTCTCTGAGGTAAAAGAAGAAAATGAACTATCCTAAAATAAACATTTAAGGAGGGGGAAAAAGTCTATAAACAGAATACCTGGGTCAATAATCATCATTTGAGTAGTTGGAAATATCCTATCAATTTAGAGATTAACTTAAAAGGGTGCAGCAGATTTAATATGCAACCAGCATATGCCATGTTTTGTTCTAAGAGCTTTACCTATATTCCTCATTTCAACCAAGTGAGGTATTCTTACCCCCATTCGGCAAAATAAGAAACATAGGAAGAAATAGTAGGTAACTTTTCAAATTTATAGCACTCCTCAGTCATAAGCCTGAGATTTGGCAGTAGGCTCTGCAGACATTCTACAGCAATATGCTGTGGTCAAGCAGCATGAACGATCCAAAATAAAGCCAAGATTCTGAAAAGAGTTTTGAAAAAAATAGAATGTTTCTAAGAAATTAAGTACGCATGTCACAAAACTCTGACAAGCCTTATCAGACTCTATTGATTTATATTAGGATAAAATGTTAACAAATAGATTATTTCATTTCTAAGCCTAGAGCTAATTAATAATAACAAATTTAGTGGGGTGTTTTGAGAACTGCTGGGGAAAGACAAGGACACTGATAAAATAAGAAAGATAATATTGGGGTAGATTATCACTTTACTTTCTCTTGGTTCCAAGTGACAGGAAAATTAATTCCATTCACTTAAGGAAAGAGAATGTAACAGTTTATGACTCACCTATTTGTGAACCCTAAGTCATAGGAACTCCAGCGGCTCAAATATAGGACTAGGACTCAGTTTCTCCCCTTCATCTTCTACTTCCAGGCATCTCCAACACCTCTGGAATCCCCCCTTTTTTTTTCAATTTCAATAAAAGCAGAAAGAAAAAGTATACATTTTGCTCCTCCAGTACCGCCAAAATGGTCTCAATGATTGTTCTTAATTCTAGTTGGCCCTGGGCACAGATATGAAACAAACACAGCGGTCACAGGGAGAGGAAGGCTGGAGTGAGGCAGGATGGATTCTTACCTGAAATGTTCACCCTGAGGTTGCAAGAGGGTTGGTTCCTTTAAAAAAAAAAACCCGGGGGGGGACACCTGGGTGGGTTCAGTTGGTTAAGTGTTTGCCTTTGGCTCAGGTCATGATCCCTGGAATGGAGTCCTGGAATGGAGTCCCCACATCAGGCTCCTTGCTCAGTGGGGAGCCTACTCCTCCCTCTGCCTGCCGCTCCCCCTGCTTGTGCTCTCTCTCTCTCAATCAAGTAAATAAATAAAATCCTTAAAAAATAAAAAATAATAAAAATAAAAAAACTCAGGGTGTTACAAAAGAAGAAATGATTAATTGGTGCTGAGAAGGAACTTAAAAAAAATGAAAACAAATGAAGACAGACAAATCTATTTTTTTAAAGATTTTATATATTTATTTGATAGAGAGAGATACAGCAAGAGAGGGAATGGGATCATGACCTGAGCTGAAGGCAGATGCTTAATGACTGAGCAACCCAGTCGCCCCCAGACAAATGTATTTTCAAAAATGCAAGCATAGGGGCCGAGTGCCGCCAACATGGTGTTCAGGCGTTTCGTGGAGGTTGGCCAGGTGGCCTACGTCTCCTTTGGGCCTCATGCTGGGAAGCTCGTCACAATTGTAGATGTTATTGATCAGAACAGGGCTTTGGTTGATGGAGCTTGCACTCAGGTAAGGAGACAGGCTATGCCTTTCAAGTGCATGCAGCTCACTGACTTCATCCTCAAATTCCCTCACAGTGCCCGCCAGAAGTATGTCCGACAAGCCTGGCAGAAGGCAGGTATCAGTACAAAATGGGCAGCCACAAGATGGGCCAAGAAGATTGAAGCCAGAGAAAGGAAAGCCAAGATGACAGATTTTGATCATTATAAAGTCATGAAGGCAAAGAAAATGAGGAACAGAATAATCAAGCTTGAAGTTAGGAAGCTACAAAAAGCAGCTCTCCTGAAAGCGTCTCCTAAAAAAGCACCTGCTGCTAAGGGTGCGGCTGCAGCAGCTGCTGCAAAAGTTCCAGCTAAAAAGATGGCCGCTGTGGGCAAGAAGGCTCCAGCCCAGGAGGTTCCTGCCCCGAAAGCTGCAGGCCAGAAGGCAGCACCTCCAAAGGCTCAGAAGGGTCCGAAAGCTCCAGCTCAGAAAGCACCTGCTCCAAAGGCATCTGGCAGGAAAGCATAAAGAGTATAAGAGGTTATTAAAAACGAGTAATAAAGGTTCTTTTTGACGTGCTAAAAAAATAAATAAATAAAAATAAAAATAAAAATGCAAGCATAGGAACACAAAAGTCTAGCTAAGCTTCCATTATTATTTAGGTCTAAGCAGCCTCAAAAAATTCAAATTCAATGCATGGAGTAGATATTCCTTAAAAGCATGGCTTACCTTGAGTTTTCAAAAAGTTTCATGTTCAAAAGATAGAAGATATCAAACAGGAAAGTAGAAATAGTATAAAATCAAATAGGTTAGCATCTATGTATTGTTGACTATGTGCCAGCCATTGGAGTATATCACAACAGCTCTATGAAGAAGTATTATTACAATCCCCAATTTATAATGAAGATTAACATGAGGCCCAGAGCAATTTCCCAATAAGATTCAATTATTTACTTGCACAATTAACATGTAAGAGAATGGTGATTCAAATGCATACAGTATCACACACTTTGACAAAATACTTAATATGAGAGCTTACCTTGGACTCTTTCAAATATAATTTATTGCTACTCTCTGTGCTCAGTTCTTTTGATTTTGACATGATTCCTGAGCATCTACTATGTGCCAGGCATTATACTACACACTCAGGATACTTGGGTTTGTAATTTATACTTACATTCAGTTCTTGAGTTTGTCTGTCATGCATTCCTTATTCAAAGTTTAATTTTTATAGTCTTATGAACTTTTTTATTAAATATCTAATCCTAAGTATTAAAATAATAACAACACCATATTCTTATGACTGCTAAATGGAAAAGAAGAGAATTAGTAGCAGTAACAAAGAATTCATTTTCATGCCAGATAAAATATTGGATGCCAAAATATGTTAACACTTCAAGCTGTTAAATATCCATCCATCAGTTACTCAATAGAGATTGGCAGGCATTTTTATGAGGCATTATTAAACAATTCTCTGAATTTATACTTTTGTGTCTACTCATACAATGTAGAAAACAAAGACAGTAGAAACACACAAAGATCTTTTATACAACTGAAGACCACTGCAAGTTCCAATTAGTACAGTAATTTCCACATTTTCCTTTATCTTGGACTTGTGTGAAACTGATTTTATAGAAATTCCTTTACATGTATTTGATCCATTATTTTTAAAATAAGAAATCAGATAGCAAAGGGAAATACTAACTTGTAAAGACGGAAGTGGAAAAAATAATTTTCTGTGATTTAACTATTTAAGAAGTGTGTGTATATATGGCAAATTTGGGGTGGGGTGGGGGACATGAGGGAGGAAGGAAGGGAAAATCCATTGAGATTTATTTCACTCTAGGTTTCCTTTGACTTTCTTCTGTCCCTGAAGTCTAGGCAATGTTCTCACCAAGGACATTTTCTTTCAAAGTTGAATAACAATTTCATTATCATCTTCATGTTTCTGTTTTCATGCTGAAAACATCTTAGTTTCATAATCAAACCTCTCTGGGTCTGGTGGCTCAAAAATTATTTCTTCTGGGGGCGCCTGGGTGGCTCAGTCGTTAAGCGTCTGCCTTCAGCTCAGGTCATGGTCCCAGGGTCCTGGGATCGAGCCCCGCATCGGACTCCCTGCTCCGCGGGAAGCCTGCTTCGCCCTCTCCCACTCCCCCTGCTCGTGTTCCCTCTCTCACTGTCTCTTTCTCTCTGTCAGTTAAATAATTAAATAAGATCTTTAAAGAAAAATTATTTCTTCTGTTTCATGGAAAGGTTTCAACTCCAGGTAAAACCCTTACCCGGCTTTAATAGATTTACCAACCCTAGAGAAAGATAAATTGCTCCAGGCTTCCTATGAGTAAATGTTGAATGCATTTAACACATTCATTCACCAAATGGAATGCAATGGGTAAGAATCTAGACTGCAGAGTCAGAATTCTTGGGTCCAACCCCACTATGTTAAAATGTCTCAGTCAGTTCTGACTGCTACAACAAAATTCCAGAGATTCAGTGGTTTATTAAAACCAGAAATTTATTTCTCACAGTTCTGGAGGCAGGAAGTCCAAGATTAGGGTGCCAGCATGGGCAGATTCTGGTGAAAGCCCTCTTCTTCCCGGTGGCAGACTGACAACCTCTTGTATCTTCACAGGGCAGAGAAAGTTTTTTTATGGAAGCACTAATCTCATTCATGAGGGCTCTGCCCTCACATTCCAATCACATCCCCAAAGCCCCACTTCCTAATACCATCTCACTGGGCATTAAGTTTTCAACAAATGAATTTGGAGGGGACATAAACATTCAGACCAAAGCTGTTACTTAATAGCTGGATGACCTTGGGATTTATTTAACATTTCTAATCCTTAATAGACTCATCTGTATACCGGCCTCTGGGGTACCCTGTGTGTCAAATATTCCACTTAACATATTGCCTAGTACAGGAGAAATGTTAATAAATGTGTATTATTACAGCTATTCTTAGTTTCATAACGATAAAATATTTTTTTAAAAAAGAAGATTTGGATAAGTTACGTGGATCCACAAAGAATGGATAGGATTTCCACAGTGGAAAAACCGAGGAGGGGGAGGTGTTGAACAAAAAAAAAAAAGAAACAAGAAACCTCAGCAGAGGCATGGTGGCTAGAAAATAACCAATCCATTGAGGCGGGAAGATAAAAACGCTTATCCTCCTCATGCTGGAAAGAACGCTGGAATCACATTTTCCCCCTGCCTTGGATTGGTGGCCCTTCTGCATGTGCTCAAGGAAGCCTTGGTTTCTTTCAATACATCACAGATACACAGCAGCAGCCTCAGGCTTGGAAGAGCAAACGATCTACGTTAAAATCCTGGTCTTGCTACTTACTTTTGTGCAACCTGGAGGGGGAAAAATTAATTTTTCTGGGTCTTGGTTTTTAACAAAATGGGAAAGATACCATTTTGCACAGTCTTCTCATCATTAAAAATAATGAAAATCTTAATAGCATCAACAACTACTCTTGAACGAGTGCCAGGCTCTGTGCTAACATCTTTGCCTCCATATTTTATTTAGCCTCTTCAACTTCTCCAGGATAATGAATGAAGAGTGGTTATCATACCAGGACTACCTGTGGATTGAGGGCCCCAAACAGAGGCCACCAAGAAAAGCTATTAATCATAAGAAATAAAATGAACACCTTTGAGTTTTTAATAGATTATAGAAGGTGGGGCTGAAGACAAATTTTAACTAGATTTCTGAGCAAAGAGACTCCAATTTACATCTAAAGTGTGATAATGTTGTCCTATCCTCCTCATAGCATTGTTGTTAAGATAAAAAAAAAAAAAATACTACACTGTAGAAGACTCCTGATCTTAAAATGTGTAATAAGCCTATGAATCAAAAGGTCAGTTAAAGAAAAGAACAATAAAAAAGATACATGAGTATTTAATCTAACAAAACTTTTTAAAATTAACCAAACTTTTTTTTTTTTTAAGATTTTATCTATTTATTTGAGAGGAAGGCGGGGGAGAGAGAGAGCGCGCGCATGCGTGCGCACAAGTGGGATGGACGGGCAGAAGGAGAGGGAGAAGCCGACTCCCCGCTGAGCAAGACTCTGGGATCATGACCTGAGCTGAAGGCAGCCCTTTAACCCACTGAGCTACCCAGAAGCCCCTAAAATTAGCCAAACTTTTGATGCAAGGCCAAGACATTTCTTTGAACACAGGTTCACTGATTTGAAATCTGCATCATCTCTCTTATGAAAAGCGCACCACAACGCATTTGTGAGATTTTCACATTTGATTTCTTCAAGTTGGAGCAGTGGAAAGACACTTGCAAAGCAACCTAAATTATAGACTTAGAGTTTTCCCTCCACTTTTTTTTTTTTACAGTTGTCTTGTCCATCTATATGCTGCAGCATTTTTTAATGGTGTAGAACATTCATGCTTTGCAAAGCACAGAGCTTATTTTTTTTAGAAACAATCTCTTCTTCCACCCTCATATTTAATTGGTTTTATTGATGCTTAGTTAAATTACATAATGGCTCTAAAGGGTTGGCATAAATGAGTTTGGGAGCCACCATGCTTGACACTTGGTAAACGTTCAGCTCATTTGATAGGAGCAGGGATGTGTAGACATCTAGAGAAAAGCCTGCTAGTCATGAGCTTTCAGTACACTGTGGGCTTCAACCATATGACTAATAGAGAGACTGGATAGTATCATTTAGTCTCGCAGTTCTGTAAGGAGATATTAATTAAGAACATGGCTACTTTTTGTTAAAGTGTATAATAAGCTCTTTTATTAATTTGAGAGAAGACATATTTCCTTTGATCATTCTTCTATGACGTAAATACACTTCAACATATTTGATTTTACACAAAGAAAAAAATTCCTAACCATATAAAAATCATTTGGGTCTTAGCAGCAAACATGAAAGGACCACCCATTCAAGATAAGGGATCTTCCTAAAAATGTTCTTTATAGTTCATCTTTCCTTTGCCCATTCACCTTATTTGTGTTCCATTGGTGGCATAACACAGCCAATCAGAGAGATGCTTTGGTTTTTATACTTCTTTCCACTTTCATTTCAAATACCCACTGTGATGTTGCTCAAGGACTCACACACACACACACACACACACACACACACACACACACACACACACCCCAGAACAAAACAAAACAGGATTATTTCCATTAAAATCAAGGCCTGAGAGAGTGGTCTCACATGAGTCTTCCCAGTCCCCGTGCCATCCAGTTTGGGTTAACCAGGTCATGAGGCTATTCTGCAGGCAGGTTTAAGAGGGAAATGCGTGGCAGGGTACCACTAGACCCAGACATCTAGAGACACCATTGGTCAACCATCAGATCTCTTCTGTATTTATACTCATTTAAAATCCATTACAGTAAATACTGAAATCTCTTTTATTTTCAGCAGTGGAGAAGTAATGTTTATTCTCTAGATTGATGAAAAATCAAACACTAAGATAGAATTTCCTTTTCTGCCAGTGAAGAATATGTGGAGGTACAGGGTAGGAAATACCTTAGTCCCTCAAAAAGTGATGGAGTGTAATAACCCTAAAACTCA